ATTATATTAACTCAAATGATGAATATATTTTATAATATGGGATTGCAAGTGTCTGTTTTCTTTAGCGTTTTTGACTTCCTGGGTTCCCAAAACCTATGCTTATGTGACTTATTCAGTCTCTTGATTACCATGTAGTTTTTTTTTTTAGGGTCAGACTCTTCATCAGAATAGTTAATTAGTTATGGATTACTTCCAAAGGATTGTATGTCTGTTGACTCAAAATACGATCAAAATATATAATTGCATTACATTATTATTTCCAATCTCTAATTGATTGACATAGTTACATTTTCAACTCGGCCCTTGTAACTCAAATGATATTAAGTATCTTTCTTAAGGTTTTCTTAAATATAAGGTTGCGAGTTTGAACATTTTATAAAGAATATAATGGATGTGTGTGTTGTGATTTAAAAAAAAAAAGAGAAAAAATTAATCTTTTAGTCATTCAATTTTTAACTCATTTATAACTCAATCCTTCAAGTATGACTCGACACAATTCAAACCCTAAACTTTTGACTGGCTTAAAACTTTTTCACTTTTTTTTAGAAAATAATATTTATCAGTCCAACTCAGAAATACACATCCTATGTGTAAATTAACTAGTGCTTATGTGGCTGCCACATCTTCTTCCTCATCATCAATCTCCTTCTGTCTTCCCAAGAAATTAGCTCTCGTCTACTCTCTGATAAATCATACAGCTGCCAGCAGCAACTGAAAATGTTAGCTCGTTTCTTCTCCTGAAACTCTCGCCTCTTTCAGCATCTACATGTATCAGCAATTGTGTCACAGAAAACCCACTCTACTTTTTCTTGGTTGCACAGTTTCCCTGTTTGAAAGGGAGTGCGTATAAGATATGAAATCAAGAGGAAGCTATGTAGAGACATACTGGGAAGATCCCAAGTGTCGTATTTGTAAACATCATCATCTGCTTGATGAGCCCCCCTCCCCTTGATCGATCAGTTCGATACTGATGGGTTTCTTGTCAAGCTTCCTTCTGAGGTAGAATCTCACGAGTTCCTCATCTGTAGGATGATATGAAACTTTCAGAGAGCAGGCGAGAGCTAATTTCGTGGGTGGATAGGAGGGGGTTCATGATAAGGGAGATGATGACTTGGCCGCCACATGAGCACTTATTAATTTACACATAGGATGACTATTTTCTGAGTTGGACTGGTAAAGATTATTTTCTAAAAAAAGTAAAAATATAAGGACTGAGTTTTAAACAAGTCAAAAGTTCAGAAACTGAGTCGCACTGAGTTATACTTAAAAACTGAGTTATAAATGAGTTAAAAGTTAAAAGATTAAAAAAATTAATTTTTCCAAAAAAAAAAACACAATCAAGATTAAAATTGATACTTCTTCGGTCCTAAATATAAGATTACAAGATAAAATGGGTTTTATATTTAGGATCAGATGAGTACTAAATTATGCTCAGTATAGTTGATATACAAAGATTAAATAGTAACATGGGTCAAGAGCCATTCGATGTAAATCGAAGAATGGGAAGATATCAAGGAAATATTATTGAAAAAAATGAAGTCTCGCATCTAATAATTAGAAGGTATATCTGGTCCCAAAATAAAAAAAGAAGAAGGAATATTATAAAGCTTGAGACGTGTCTCACAAGGTGGTATAACGTATATCGGTAAAGTAGACAATTCTCAAACATAATTAATAGAGATATTATGAGATGCCAAAGAAGGAATTTAATTATCAAGAAATTTTAATCACAAATGACCAGTATGAACTTATTGTCATTCATATCTTGTAACTTGTCATTATATGCTTTTTAGTTATCAATAGACTTTAAAATAATTAAATTTATTTTTTTAGGACCTGATTATCATTCTACCTACTTAATACTCCCAATTCTTATTGCAAAGACTCTTAATATGTTTCATGATATAACATGATTTATTTAAAGCATTGATTTTCTCTCCTAGTATCCCCGACTAATTATAAAACTTCTTAACTAGTTAACTAAACTCTTCTAACAAATAATTTTATTAAGAATAATTTTGATACTTTATAAGAAAATAACTAATTTTGTTAATTTATATAAAATTATTATTAAGTACTTATAATAAGGATATCCAAAGTTTTGACGAATTTCAACTATTTTAGAAGGCAAGAAACATCAAAATTGTATATCATCATATTTTTCTTTTTTAATTTAATACGACTTAAATATATGTATGCACCCAAAATATCAACGTTGGGTTTAAACCGAAATCTCATCCAAATATTATTGGTGACGTTGTTATTGGGATAACTGAGCATTAATACCACATTTCCCTTCAATCCTTCCCTAGATGCATAATTTGAAATTGAAATACTTGATTCTATTCTTTCTCATGATTAAGAAAAAAAGATGAAATTTCATTCATCGGGTAAACTTTCTTGGATATGAATGCTTCGTACTCAATGCATGTTTGCTGACGCCTTTGGTTTAATTCAGAAATGGTGGGATTATCCAACGCGACAAGTTGAAACATTCTAGTAGCTTGGAATGAGCGCTGCAGAAGGCAGGCTTTGCCGCTGAAGTTGTTTGGCGACCCCGAAACCACGAATGTGAAGTTATTGTGTCCATTTACAACAAATGTGATTAGATTAGCTTTTAGAAATGATTGCATGCTATATTGAGTATACAAGATAAATTTTATTTTAGCCTGAGTAAAAATATTTTTTAATTAATTTCAGAAATATTCAAACTCTCTTTTTTAGTGTCCGTTTAAAATTACTTATTATAAGCATGTTTATATAAATCGAAATCGAGATAAAACTTATTTCATATACTATAAATCATAATTGAAATGTTGCTTTTGCAAACTTCAATGGTAATTTTGAACAAACCCTTAACAAAATAATACTCTTCCGGTTTTTAATATAGGACATGTTTAACTAATTTGATTAGATTAAAAAAGTTAGGTAAATTAGTTAATTATAAGAAATATGACATATTTTTCTTAAACTATCATAATTATCTTTCTTAATATCCTCCCTTCCTCTTTTACTTAATTATAGTTGAAGGAGTATCCATTAAGATAATTTAGAAAAAATTGATAAATATAAGAAATAAATCTTATATTGAGGATTAAAATCAACTCAATAGTTAAGTCATATATTATGGACTAGATGAGTATCTTACAATATAATACTTTCATAGCCAGCTACTATAATGGTACCTACTCCTATCAAAGGAAGCGACCTAGTTGACGGCTAAGCCCAATAAAACCACCAAATGAGAAAGGTTTTGTTTGGATTAGCATTTGAAATTATTTATAAGTACGTTTTATATAAGTCAAAATAAAACTTTTTTCATGTTTTTACTTTATATTCTGTAAATTATGATTAAAAATGAATATTAAATTATTCTAAATGAATATTAAATGACATTTTTTTTGACCTTGAGGGTATTAAATGACATTGAATCATGGCTTGTTTGAAAAACACAAGACATTGAATGGTGGCAAAAATAGTAAGCCCACCTGATTTCATCAAATCTAAAATTAGGCCCTCTATGGTAGGGTCAAAAAATAGGTCCCCGCTACAAAAAATACAAATGTTGAGAATGATGAACGGACCGGAAGGTGTAAGCTTTGGGGGTTGATTTGAGAAAAAACAAATTAAATCTCATATATCACTGAAATATTCATAATACCTTACGTTACATAAACGTAGGGTTCTAATTCTAAATTTTGTTCAGGTCAAAACAAAAAAAAAATCTAAAATTTGTTCATCTATATGAAAGCAGTTCTGAAATTTAAAAAATTGCTAGATGTTGGATTATACTTTTTTTCCCTTCCCAAAAAAAAATTTTCATTAATTTTGAATTGTCCATAGTGAAAGGAACATTTTCTTCTTTACTTTCATACAAATAACACATACTACGATAGGACAAAGCTTACATTATATGCTCTGGTCAAAAAACCTTACATTATATGCAAATGAAAAATGGAGTGTTTAATTTCTTTAAACAAATCTCATTATCTATTCTTATATATTTTAGCAAGATGATGCATTGTTGATGACAATCGAGGTTCTAATATTCATAATGAAATTTTTAATTTTTATAGTTAAGCTCTTAAGTCCTGTTTGATGCGAAACATTAAAAATAAAAGATAAGGATAAGGGTTGATATTAAAAAAAATCATTAAAAAATATTTAGTATGAGTAATTTTTTATTATATTGAATTACGCAATCCCATATAGATGGGATTGGAGATTACCACTTCTTCCCATGATATTTTTCAATCTCATATATATGATTTACCCGGTTCCAAATAATAAATAATCACTCATACTAAAAAAATATTTTAATATATTTTTTAATCTTAATTTTAATTCCTACTTCTAATTTTTAATTTTAGGTACCAAATAGGGTCTTGAGTTTCCACAGCCACAGGTTGCTTTGTTTTGGACGGTTTTGACTAAAGCAAGAATATTTTGATTTGATCAATTTTTTTGTTTGTTTTGCAACCAAAAACAACGAAGCTTCATTATTGTTTTTCTCTGTTCTTAAAGTGACTTCTCCCTATTCTTACGCGCCAGTTGGAAGCTCGCGTCTGGCACAACTGAAAAGCAAAAAACGCTGTTGCCCAAAAAAAAAACAACAGATGAAGGCATTGGTCACTTGCCCGAGAGGGGCCCAGGGCCCAATTGCTATCCCATGCCAGCTGCCTGGCTTCTGCCCTTGCCTGGGTGTGTGTCTTTTACGCGCTATCACTGAGAGTGGAAGAAGGCCATTCTCGATATCTTTCCCATTCGATCGAATCTTCATTTTTTAAACCAAAAATAAAAACAGAACAGATAGGCAATCGTGGCATGGCATGATCCCGGAGCTATTTGCTGAGTTCAATTATGGTATGGGACCCGCCTGGTTTAACGGACACGATGATTGATTCAATTGCGTATGACCGTTCGATATTCGTACATCGATCGGAGGAAAGGCGAAGTTTCTTTTTTTTTTTTTTTTGGTTATTTAAATCTGGGTAGGAGCCATGAAATGTGGATGTGATGAACAGTAGCTAGGTAGGAAGAGGGTACGAGGACGATTGTGAAAGATCAATTGGATGCGAAGCCCCTGGATCTCCCAAATTCAAACAGAGGAATCGTAGATCTACTTTTTCCCTTTTCTATTTTGTATTTGATCAGAACCAATGGGTTTATGGGAAGCTTTTCTCAATTGGCTTCGCAGGTTGGTTTTCTCGCTTTGCCTTCATTGGCTGCGTAAATTGACACCTGTTTTCATGAAATCAATTCAGTTCGCCATTGTCCTTTTCCTTCGTTTTGTGTATTGTGGGTCTTAAGTTTGGATTCTGGATATGAGGCTTATCACTGAGATTTTATTTAGTTGTTTAGTGGCAACTCGTAAATTGACTTGCAAATTTTGAGTTTTCTCTCATTGATCGGAAAGACCAAAAAAGATAAGAAAAAAGGTATGGTAATTGCAAGTTGAAATTTTAATGTTGTCTGTAATGCTGTAAGGGATTAATTGATATTGAGGAAGAAAGTGTGTCTGTATTGGACGGTTTCAGTTCGTCTGAAGAAGTTTATTTCTAAACGAATTATGAACATTCATCACAGAAATATTATTAGGAGCGTCTTTTGTGATGAGACAGCTTGAAGATAATCCAATTGCTGCATTGGAAATTCGAGTCCTTATCAACTTTAAGCTAACTGTTTTCGAAATTCTTCTGAAAGTAAACATATCTCAAAGGACATTGTTTAACTCACTTTTTCAGTTTTTGATTGTATCTTGCACACACACGCATTCGCATGCATGGCCTATGGATGCATGTGTGAGCTTAGTGGACATGTGCAGTGTCTTTTTCTATCATGTGATTTGTCCTTGCATGAAATTATTTGTCCAATTTCTTCAATGTGGTTAAGCTTAATACGTTGTAAATTTGATTGCAGCCTTTTCTTCAAGCAGGAAATGGAGTTATCTCTGATAGGACTTCAGAATGCTGGAAAGACTTCACTTGTAAATGTCGTTGCTGTAAGTACAATAACAATACTAAATTTCATTTAATGTATTATTTCTTTCATTCTTCATAATTTGGACCTTATTCACTGAAAGTTGGCTCCATGATCTGATTTCTAGACTGGGGGCTATAGTGAGGACATGATTCCAACGGTAAGTTCTGTTTCCCAAATGCTTATATTGTTTGTTTCTTCTCCACTCATGAGTCATAAGGATAGACAAGTTCTCTATCTATCAAGGAGAATAGAAATCTGATTAAACTAAACTAATGTAATCTGATTACAGGTGGGATTCAATATGAGGAAAGTCACAAAAGGCAATGTTACAATTAAGTTATGGGATCTTGGAGGGCAACCTAGGTTCCGCAGCATGTGGGAGCGTTACTGTCGTGCTGTTTCCGCAATCGTGTATTGACCAAATTTTTTTTTCTAGTTGACCTTGAAGATTCTTTATTTTTCTTTGTGACTTGGGCATTTTTTCAAAAGTGAAATGATAAATGCAATTATAGTTCATCATAGGCATCTACTGATGAATGTACTCGTGCACTAGTGTAGATCTGTATCTTTTCATTGGTGACTCATTTTTGTGTTTATGATGGTGTCAGCATGTTTGGTAAATTGTAAACTGTTAAGTTCTGTATAGAGCACTCGAATGATTTTGTCTGATCAAGTTGCTTAGTTGTCTAGCTCAATCTTTCATTGAATGTTCATTATAACCAGATAATGTTCTGTTAATTATATTTCTTTAATTGTCGAATCAAGTGCATGTTTGTTTCCACAGCAGAACTAAACACGTTAAATTTTTCCTGTCATGGCCTAAAGCGCAGTTCTTAGTTGATTAATAAATGCATGTTACTTTGATGCCTGTCCATGGAACTCCGCCCTTATTTGCTTGATTCATTAAATATATTTGCCTCTCTGTCATTGACATATGTCTCAGGCGGTGAATTTTCTACGTGATATTGGTCATCATGATTAATTATTTGTAGGGCAAGGAAGTGACTGCTACTGGAAGCTCTGCCTAGATTTGATTACTGGTCATTAGATTTAGATCAGTTTTACCCCACAAATCCTGATGTCTTGTTCAAGAAGCATTTGACTGCCCATGTTATAAACGAAATGGTTACATGTTGAACGAAAAAGTTGTGATGCTGCTAGTTATTGCCTCTTAAGTACTGTGATTTTGCCTTATTTGACCTAGTATTAGTTGCTCGTGTTTCTTTGAAATGAAGCCTTCTGTACTAGTGAAGTTGCACTAGTGGTGTAGTCTATTTTTCTTAATCTGGTTATGATTATGTTTATGTTAATCTAATTTCATCTGTGAAACTCAATTGTTCTTATCTCACCTTTGCCCCAGTTATGTTGTTGATGCTGCCGATCCAGACAATCTTAGCATATCAAAAAGCGAACTTCATGATTTGTTGAGTAAACCATCATTGAATGGTATACCCTTGTTGGTGTTGGGGAACAAGATTGACAAGTCAGGGGCTTTGACTAAACAAGCATTGACTGATCAAATGTAAGATAAATACCACTATGGTAAACTCTTGTAAATAATAGACAATAATAACAACAAAGTTTTATCTCATTAGGTGGGATCGGTACCCTTGTGCTCTATTAACAGATTAAATCTTTAGCATGTAGTGATGCGTAAAATTAATGAGTACTGCTCTGCTCATTCTGCGTCTTCCATATTTGATTCCCTTGATTTTACTTGTGTGCTAAAAGAGCTGCCTGGCGTGCAGGGATTTGACGTCAATTACCGACAGAGAAGTTTGCTGCTTCATGATCTCGTGCAAAAACTCGACTAATATTGACTCTGTTATAGATTGGCTCGTGAAGCATTCCAAATCAAAGAGCTGAGAAGTTCCTCTCTGCTTTGAACTCTGCTGTAACTGCTCAGTCTGGATGTTGGTGGTGGCATTTGCGCATCTAAAACTCGGTTTCACATAGCCTTATTCTTGCCCTTTGTTTTTTTCTCGGATTTTTGTTATGTTAATATCATATCATTCTTATCGTTTGGGGACGTGAACGATATGCCATATTTGTCAGGGATTACTTTTAGTGCAGTTATTGTGAGTTACATCGTGTTTGTACTTTAGTTGTACGAAAATTTGATAATTCGTTGTATAAAAAGTGATAGTTCAATTTTCTGGCTTGGAAAAATTGCGGGGTGGCTCTAGTGGAGGCCTTTGGAGAAGACAGTACTTTGAAGGTTTGAAACTATGAGAATTTAGGGCAAGCAAAATCGAACTAAACTGAATTCGTTTTGATATTTTTTATTTGGTTTTTGTTTGATAGATATTTGGTGTTTGATTATTAGGGAAAAAAATTTCGTTTAAAACCAAATAAAAAAAAACAAAATTAAAGGTAGAACGATGGGTCCTATGTGTTTCTGTCCAGGTCCCGGTCCCGTAATCATAATTCAAATTCAAAATAATGGTTCCCTATTTAATAACCTTTTCAAAAATCGATGAAACCGAAATACTTTGGTTTTTGGTTTTTCTAGAGAAACGGAATGCTCACTTAAAAACCCATTTTTAAAAAAAATGAACTTAAACAGTCTGATGAATTATTTGCTCAAAAAACAGTCTGTGAATTAGAAATTTGATCTAATAAAAAATTTGATATAATAAAGGGAGAACTTTAAAAAAAAATTACTTCAAAAATTTCAAAATCTCAAGAGAGAAATGACCAAAAAAATGTACTGTTATTAATGATAAATTAGTCCTTATAATTTAATTAAAAATGATATTGAATTTACCCATATTGCAAGGGTTTATATTTACTAATTACTAGTTCATATAAGGGTGTCAAACAAAAAATTACTAGTGCATATAACTGAACTAGTGTTATAAGATAAAATTTCCTTCAAATTATCTCAAAAATTTTTCAGCGAAAAATTATAATAAAAAAATAATCTTTTTTTTTGGGACCAGAAATAAAAAAATAATCTGTTAGGAAATAAATTCCCTCTCATTCCTCTGATGACTGATATTTCGCGCTGCGGCTTGTAAGCTGTGACACAGAATATCTTGCTCGTTGGGAGTCCCCGTCATTCTTATCTTGCAGTCTGTAATGTAATGCTCTGAACTTCGTCATGGAAAGTTTGCAAGCAGTGTTTCATCCTTCGGTCGTCCAATATGAGCCAGACACTGAGAATATCAAACGGAAGCTCATCAAGAAGGGTGTCTACCCGACACCCAAAATCATTCACACTCTTCGTAAGAAAGAAATCCAAAAACATAATCGAAAACTTAAGCGTCTTGCCGAACAAGATGACCACGTCCCTCGGCTTACGCGGTCCCAAAAGCAAGAACTCTTGGAAGAATACGAATTCCAGGCGTTAAAGGGCGAATACAAAGAATTTTCAAGAGCAATAGAAGCCAAAGCAGGAGAGAAGGCTGAAGCCATGATGGTGGGGAGGCCATGGGATGCGCTTAAGAAGGTTGAATTTCTAGAGCTTGCGCGAACGAACAAGGAATATGGTGGTGAAAAGCTTCGGAAGGAGAGTTTGAAGGAATTGAAAGAAATGTTTGAGGCGCGAAAGCTGGATGAGTTGCGGTGGGCTTTAGACGATGACATTGAAGTGAATGAGGATTGGCTCAGTGGTGAAAATGAAAACCAGGCGGCTGGGAGGAAGACAAGGAAACGCAGCGAGGCCGAGGTGATACGATTTCTCGTTAATAGGTTAGTGATGAATTTCGATTCTGGCTAAATTTTAGAGTGATTCTGTGAGCTGAGGTATTATTGAGGGATTTTTATTTCTATTTTTTTTTTTTAAATTTAGGCTAAGTGCTAAGGAGATTACTATAAAGGATTGGAAATTTGCAAGAATGATGAAGCTGTCTGGATTGCAATTTACTGAGGGTCAGTTGCTGAAGATTCTCGAAGAGCTTGGCGCTAAAGGAACCTGGAAACAAGCGCTTTCTGTGGTGGATTGGGTGTACAATAAAAGTGACAACAGGAATTATAAAAGCCGGTGATTAATTTGCTTATTATTGTCTTCTGGAGAAATTATTTTCAGCTTAAGAAGATTGTTTAAGGTCCCCTGACATTTTTGCGTTGTATGAAATTCTAAGTCAAACCTACGATTGGAAGTATTTCCTCAGTTTTCGTTATTTATGTGCTCCATCGTCCGCAAATACAATCAGTCAGACCTATTGGTTGGAGTGAATAGCTTTTATTTGGGATTGACACTGATAATTCACCTGCTTCTATAGTTTTACATTGAGGCCCAAATATAGAATGGTGCTTGGGGAGATAGACATTTTGATTGGAGAAATGCAAGATGTGCATGTCTCCCTCCTGGAAAAACACTACGTCACTGCCTAACACACGCACACACTTTGTATATGTGGGTATTATGCCAATCTTTTGCTTATCTAATTGCTTACTGCCTTATATATTAAAGTCCCTGTTCTAAAGAGATTTGCAATGACCTTGTAGGTTTGTTTACACAAAACTTCTTGCGGTTCTTGGGAGGGCAAGAAGGCCAAAGGAGGCCCTTCAAGTTTTCAATCTGATGCGTGTAAAATCAAGTGCCTAGACTGTTTTGTGAGGAGGGTTCCTCCTTAATTGTTATTAGAATATTGCTGGATTTACTTTTACTTTCTGCTTATTCAGGGGGATCTCCACATATATCCTGATATTGCTGCATATCACAGCATTGCTGTTACACTTGGTCAAGCTGGTCTTCTGAAAGAGTTGATGAAAGTTGTGGAGTGCATGAGACAGAAGCCCAATAGAAGATTTATGAACCGGAAGGACTGGGATCCCATCCTTGAACCTGATGTGGTTATATATAATGCTGTAAGAAAGAAACTAAATGTCTATTAGGCCACTGAGGAACTTCTGGTAGTGCCATTTATCAGATTGACTAACTGTTCAATTGCTGTCAGCTACTGAATGCTTGTGTTCCATCAAAGGAGTGGAAAGGTGTGTCATGGGTGTTTAAGCAACTGAGGAAGGGTGGTCTGAAACCAAATGGGGCAACTTATGGACTTGCAATGGAGGTAATTTATCAACATGAAGCATGCATACTCTAATATTGGAATATGGAAATTCAGTATAACTTTTATTTTTCTTTCCAATGATGCGTCATACTGCGAATAACTTAGCTCTGATTGGGTAATATAGTTCCCATGAGTTAAGAAATTCTAGCTTTTTGAGGACTCAAGGTGGGCAGTCCCATCTCTTATGCGTATGTATAGTATTGGCTCTTTTTGAAATACAGTTCTCAAACAAACGATTTACCTGGTTTATTCTGTTCAAATTTTTTTATAATGTTAAGGGTGAAGGACGTTTCCCCCTTATCTTTTTTATATAGAGATGTAGGTATCCATGTTAATAGGAAGGCTCAGATTTTCATATTATTCTCATGTACAACAAACTGCTTTTAAGTTCTATCCTGTTTGAGGCATGAGAGTCTTTATGATTGATGGGGAAAGCTGGTTTTGTTAACTTGTTAGGGGAAGGTTCTTACTTTCCAAATGCTTACGTTTAAAGCATATGCATTCAAGTCTCACAAGTGGTCCTTGTTATAAGGTAATGTTGCAATCAGGCAAGTATAACCTTGTCCATGAGTTGTTTAGAAAGATGATAAAAAGCGGGGAGGCTACCAAATCTCTGACATATAAAGGTAATTTATTTAGTTCCTTCATTCTTGCTATTTGGTGCTGATGTTTGCATGCTCATACATATCCTATCGGACTTCTTCAGTGTTGGTGAAAACTTTCTGGAAGGAAGGCAAAGTTGATGAAGCTGTGGAAGCAGTCAGGAACATGGAAAGAAGAGGAATCATAGGAACAGCCAGTGTGTATTATGAGCTAGCTTGTTGCCTTTGCAACTTTGGGAGATGGCAAAATGCTATGCTAGAGGTAAAGTTTTCATTTGCATTGTTATGCTATGGCTGTGCATATAGTTATTGTTTTTTATTTCTTCAGTAGGGATAAGGTGTTTAAATACCCGGAAGTACATATGAAGGAGCATCTAGCACTTGTAAATTTTTTTTGGCTCTTATATGTTGTGGAAGTTTTATTTCTTAGCATTTTTACCTTGAACCATTATCCTCCTCTAAGTTTGATTGTCAAAGACACTGGTTAAATTTAACGGTGGATAGTGGCTAGGGTAGTTTCGCTACGAAAATAAACTTCCAAGGCATATAAGAGTTAAAAAGAAAAAAGAAAAAAAAAAATCCAGGTACTGAGTGCTTCTTTATGGATACTTCTGGGGTATTTGCTTCTTTATGGATACTTCTGGGGGTATTTAAGCACCTTATGCCTTCTTCAGTAAACCAGGAATAAAATACGTTTTCTTTGGAATGTGGCACAGGTTGAGAACATTAAAAGACTTTCTCATGCGAGGCCATTGGAGGTTACCTTCACTGGCATGATAATGTCTTCCTTGGATGGTGGCCACATTGAAGAATGCATATGTATATTCGAACACATGAAAGAACACTGTGCTCCTAACATAGGGGCTATAAATGCCATGCTGAAAGTTTATGGCCGAAATGATATGTTCTCTAAAGCTAAAGAGTTATTTGAGGAGGTTAAGCGAGCTAAATCAGATTGTTATGGATCCCCAGGAGATGGTGGCGAGCCATCCATTGTACCAGATGAGTATACATATAGCTCAATGTTGGAAGCATCTGCCAGTGCACTCCAGTGGGAATATTTTGAGCATGTGTACAGAGAAATGACACTCTCTGGTTATCAGCTGGATCAAAATAAACACGCGTCATTGCTTGTTGAAGCATCAACAGCGGGCAAGGTAGTAGACATATATATTATTGAATTCTTTCTCGTCGTGTAGAAAGATAATCTATTATTTGATTGGTAGGATTATTAGTTATTTTTGCACAAGCATGATTACAGAACTCAGCACAAAAGGCATATTCATGAGGCTTCGAGTATGAGCTTGAGGTGTTATTTAGAATTTCAATAGTGGTGATTCTGGTTTTTCCCTTTATAATCAAGCTCTGAATTATTTCTGAGATGATTTGGGTCAACTGCAATTTTGTCTCATTATTACAAAGTTAGCCAGGGGAATCACGTAAGATATCCTGGCCAAAATGCAAATGAGACTTCCACCTGTATTTGGAGTTTGTGCAAAACTCACTTGTAAGTGATAAGGTTAGCACAAATACCCCTTCTTGTCGTTCCAAGTGACCAACATCTTTATTTGCCACTTGGACGACAGATTATATTTTTTCCCCCAACTGACAATACATGAATATGTGCAAGGGTTAGGACTGGAAAGGATTGTGCTGCACCTGCACAAAAATGATTTTTTTTTTGGGTTGTCAGTCGAGTTTTGAAGTTGAGGAAAATTAATTGTATAACCCCCTAAGCTGATGATGCTTTCTTCCTCTCTTCCGTCGTTTTGTATTTTGCCATTCATCATTGTTATATCCTCTCCCCTTTCTAGCCCTGCAAATTTATTAATTTGACTCGTTAAATGTGTTGGCCTACTTGGCTTCATTTCAGGGGCATTTACTGGAGCATGCATTCGATGTCCTTCTGGAAGCCGGAGAAATCCCTCCTCTTCTTTTCTTTATGGAACTGGTAGTTCAAGCTACAGCTTATCATAATTATGAAAGAGCTGTTGTCCTTATTACCACCATGGCTTATGCACCATTTCAAGTAAGCGAGAAGCACTGGACTGACCTGTTTAAGGAAAATCAAGGCAGAATAAATCTCGAAAATCTGGAGCATTTGTTGGACGCTCTTGGCAAGTGTGATGTTCAATATGAGCCAACAGTCTCAAATTTATCGAGATCATTGCATTTTCTTTGTGGAAGTGGTACAACAAGAAATGTCTCTGGTACCATTGATATTGGAAGTGAAGATACTAGCAAAGATGAGAGTGAGAGAACTGATGATGGTGGAAATGCAAATGTGCCATTTAGTTCAGAGACAGCAATGAACGAAGGTGCTGAATGGATTAGAGGCATTGTTGGCAGTTCCCATGTCGCTCCAAATATAACTTCGTCCCATGATGATCGTGTCAACAGTGATGATGATGATGATGATGATATTGCCATTGTTTCTAGGCCTCAAAACTCTGATAATGTGGACAGAACAAGTTTTTTTACTGATAGGCGGGGATTTGCTGATGATCTGGATCTTGACGAATATTTTGAGACTCTACATGAGAAGTGGGACTTGTCTGATGGAAGCACTGAAGAGGACGAGACAGCATTTGAGAGGCCCTCAGCATATGAAATATTGCAAGAATGGAAGAAAAAGAGAAAGGAGGATGGGAGTTATCCTAAATCACAAAGTGCATAATGACAGTAAGGTGCTTTAATTCAATGTGCTAGCACAACTAAGGTAGAGCTGACAGTAACACGTTGTAAAAATATTGAAGCGTTACAAGTCTGTAATTCATTTCATAATCTTGTCCTTGTGATATATTATTAATTTCTGTTATATCTGTAAATTTAAAATCAAGGCATTATATTACTACAAAGGCGTCTCACATTGTAAAATATTTGGAATGCATTTGTACAAGGGTCCATCGTATATTCAAGTTGTTTTAAATATCTTGGTGAAAAAATTTGTTTCTCTAATTATCCATAAAAAGTAACTAGTTGCATTTTGTAGTGTAATGTAGACGTACGTTACTCGTACTCAAAACTTAGAGTCCGTTTGGTTCCATTGCATACAAGTTATGAATGCAATGTAATGCAGTGCAATCTATAATGCATGCAATTTTAAGTACCATGTTTTTGTTTGGCATGATATTAAAAGGATGACAGACGACATTAATTTTTTAATTAATTTAAATATAAATAATTGTGAAAAGACAAAAATGTCATTAAAGGAAATTTCCTCCCTCCGCCTCCTCCATCCTATTGCCGATGAGTTAGAGTTGCAGCGACAACACAAATCACAAAATTAGGCAAAAATCAAAATTCACAAAAATGAAATCAATAAATTGATGTCGTAATGGCGTGAAACCAATTACTGTTGTTCAAGTCTTAATTATCAAAATCGATAAGCAGCATTAGATGGAACCTGAGATCTAGAACTTGAATACATGAACTCGTTCTGGGGGGAAAAAAAAAGAAAAAGAATCTCCGAACTGCTGAATGGATGAACCTAAATCATCAAGTAGCAACAGGCAATGAAGCACTAATTAAAATCTATGGAGATAAAAGCGTTTAGGATGGACGGAAGAATCAAAATCTAGTAGATGTTTCGACAATCAATAACACGTCTACTCAAGGAAGAAGACCATTGATGAAAATGAAGAAGGAGTCGACGACGGAAGAAGTGTTGCCAGGCCAACGGTGGTGAATAGGTATTGGCGAAAATAATCCTGGGGCAGTTGTTGTCTTTTCATATGGGTTATAGAGGACAAAATTGACATTTTATAATGGATTACAGGTCTGCAATGAGTATTCATTTGTTTACAAGCAGTCATACCCCCACTTGCATGTATTTTCTCTTGATTCACATCAACCATGCAATTACTATTATCTTATTTGATCTGTATTTATCATTTTATATTTTCAAGTGATACTCTTATTATTAAAATCGATGATCTATATATATAAATAATTTATTTCAGGTCATGATCATATAGTAAAGACTAAGTAGACAAACAATGTTTAAAAAATTAAATGGCTGCACCATTTGATGCATAATTTTGCTAAATCACATTTTTACTTAATTTTTAATGATGATAGTAAGCAAGAAGTCACGTAGCTACATAATAGTAATTTATTGTATTTCAATTATATTTTCTCGAAGAGGTGTAGATTCTTTTTAAAAATTGTTTCTGCTCACTTAGGTAATTAATTGTGAACCTTAAATGCAATAATTATTTATTATTCGAATGCAATGATAAGAACAAATGAACAATCCATGCACCCCACGGTGGAATTATGTAGCTTTAATTTTAATTAAAACATAATTGAAGAATTCAATCGTAATAGAACGTATGTTTGATTTAACTAGGAAATAATACATTTTTATGTAAAAATGACATACATGTGTAATAAAAAAATTATATCATTGTTAGCCCTTAGTTAGAGATAATGAGATTAAGAAAATTTAAAATTATATGAAGCTTTTTAATTATGGATTATCCTTTGATTTGATGACAAGGTGGTCTTGAATAATTTCTCAACATCTCTTTTCATGTGGCTATAACTTTCTCTCAATCTTTTCTAGAGAAGTTTACAGTTTAAAATCTATACAGTCCTTTCCGGGAGTTTCTATACGTTTCTGTGGTGTAGAAGAAGAGTCCATTTTTTTATTCAATTATTCATTTTAGATAATTTTTTTGTTATTTAATCTATTTAAAAAGTCTTAAAATCCTTCATTGAAGATATAAAATAATTTTTAATAATTATGAAAGATTTAAGTCAGTTAAATTTATTTAAAATAATTTCTATATTTCGATTCTAAATTGTGAAGAGCCTGCCTCATGCAACAGAGATAAAAATAAGAAAACTAGACAGGTTTTTCTATTATTTGATTCCTTATTTTTATTATTTAAAGTAATAGGAATATAATATTTTGAAAAATAGTTTAAGATATTGAAATTTATAAAATTAATTTACGTTTTAAAATTTGAAATTTAAATTTTAAAGTATTAAATAGAGAAATGAAAATTAGAGAATCGTAGTTTGGGGGGAAAAAAAAGAAAAATTAGAAAATTGAAATAAAAAAATTCCATGACTTGATGGTCCGTTTCAAAATATAAGAAATGAAATTTAGCGCAACATCGAATCTCGCATGGGCATCGCGGAGGTTGTGTAATTTCCTTTTCCCTTGGTCGCATTGTGTCGTGCTTAGAATTGATTAATTTTCCTGGGCCGAGCGTGATTGCCTGGAGATCCTGGTTCATCGACGATGGCTAACACACTGCAACGCGCGGCGAACCATGGTCGTGCCCTGCGCGCCACTTTGGCCCCTCTGTGCCGGCCATTTTCTTCAGACGCATTGGTCGAGGTCAAACCCGGAGAGATCGGAATGGTTTCTGGAATTCCTGAAGAACACCTTCGTAGGAGGGTAATCTATTTTACTCTAATTCACCTTCACTTTATTGTGTTATAAACTAGAGACTAGGATTACCAATTCCTCTTTTCTGCTGCCAATGTGGTTTCTTAGTTAATCTAGGGTTCCCTGGCTCCCAGATACGCTCCAATCTGAAACTTGATATTGACTAGGGGTTTTGTATTTGTCTCTGTGCATTCCATTGCGGCGCATGCCACCATAGTGTTTGGATGAGTGCTACTTTAAAGAATGGTGCTCTGTAGTCTAATTCCCCGGCTTGGCTCGAAGCATTCTTTTTTCTTTTTTCTTTTTGGGGGGGTGGTTTTAAGCAAGTGAGGAAAATTAACTGGTGATATGCCTAGTCATCCCTCTCTAATATAGGGAATGTACCGATGCCAACTTGAAATCTGACTGATATTGAAGTGCCACTAAAATCAAGCTCCTCCTTCCTCCTTTCTTGCCAGCCACTGAGACTCAAAATTGTTCTTCTTCTCCTCAATGTGTGATGCAGGTTGTAATTTACTCGCCCGCCAGAACTGCCTCTCAACAAGGGTCTGGCAAGGTTGGAAGATGGAAGATCAACTTTTTGTCAACCCAAAAGTATATTCTTTAGTCTCTCCGGTTCTTTCACCATTTATTTTAACTTCAGTATTGCTGTATTAGATCTGAATTACAGTTACATGGATTCTCTGTTCCTGATTGCATGTGATGAGATGCTGTGTGATGAATTTGACATCAGGGTAGATGACATTTTGGATTTTTCCCCTTGTAATATATTTAAAAGTTGAAACTTACTCACCAGAGTTCACTTATGGTATTGCTGATTCTTCCTTGTTTGATATCCGACTTCCTACTCTTCCCTATGTGGATATCCCTCTAGTTGCGAGGAGTTACTTGAAAATTCTATACAATATCCTAAGTAAACTTGGTTATTGATCTTATCACTTGAGTCAGTGGTAATTTTGTAAACATTAATTGTGGCTGAACTGCTTGTTATTGTTAACGATTATTCTGTTAGATGGGAGAATCCTCTCATGGGATGGACGTCAACTGGGGACCCATATGCCAATGTTGGTGACTCTGCCTTGAGTTTTGATAGTGAAGAAGCTGCAAAAGCATTTGCTGAGAAGCATGGTTGGGAATATGCGGTATGCTTCACTAATCAATTATTTGGGTGATTGAGCAAATTCAAGCCTTTACCACACATTTTTATTTAAAAGATTTATTGTCTAGTGGATTGATTCATCTTTTCTTACTCAGTCCAACAAAGATCATAATGAGCGTATCTTTATTGCTCCCAACATTTTGAAGTAAACGAATAATGCCTCTCATTTCTGACGATCATGAGGCAGTTCCCATAAGGCTTAATTGAGACGGAAATGCATAAAAAGAATATAGTTCAGGTTGAGTTAGTAGCGTTGTTTCGACCATTAGGCTAGTAAAATATTGTGATTGTGTAGTAGTTCTGATAAAGCTGAGTTGAGATATGGATTTATGAAATGAATAGAGTTGTCACAATCAATTAGTGGTTTTCCAACCATTAGGCTAGTAATAAGATTCCTGCTAAAGAGAAAAAAATTTCTTGATAAATCACAAACTGTTGTCCCTCAAGTTTGGTATTCTTCTATTTTTATTTATGAAATCTCGGAACTTGATGCAGGTCAAGAAGCGTCATACACCATTGCTGAAGGTTTGAGCTTCTTTCACCTGGTTTATTTATGATTTAGCAATTTTTCTTACGGTAGTTTTAGCTGAATTATGAATTATGAATTTTTATGGGGTTAAGAGTCCTGTGGGTTCTGTTAGCCGTGAAGTTTTCAAATATGCTTTAAGGTGTTTTTTGGGATTCTATCTATGTACTCCTTTTGGTCTTGGCTGATGGACCATTTTATATTATTTTTTTATTCTCATAATATCATAATTTCTTTTTCTCCCCTAAAATCTTGAGTGGTGGTTCTTGATGTCCTCGGCTGTATAGCAGCAGGTTAATATCTTGAAGTGGTGATCTTGAAACCCAGTGGCTTTACATATGTGAATGATAAGAAAGTTACTTCTGTTTGAAAATGCTTATATACTCCTTAAGCGTTGGCCTGTGGACTTGTTGCAGGTTAAATCATATGCAGACAACTTTAAGTGGAAGGGCCCCCCAAAAGTTGGGGAGCAATGATTTATTGGTTTGCATTTCTTTCCAGGAAAGTTCAGAATGATGCAGTTTTTTCCATTCCCATCTTTTCTTGGAAGAAAGCTGTAGCATGATGTCCTTGATTGAAAATAAATGAGATTGAACTTTCAACTAATCACTTGCATCTTTGTGTTATATTATTTCGTATTTTTTAACCAAGGCATCTATCTTCTGTGTCCTGACCTGATGTGCGTTGCCTTTGGCAATGAGCATAAATAACTGAATGTCAACTACAATAATATTAGTTTTAGGTTTTTGGTTGTTTCGCGTTGTTTGGGGTATAACGATTCTGTAGTCATTTTCACAGGTGTCTTCAGCTAACACAATCTGGAAAGATGGCCTTATGTGTCATATGCGATCATTTTACCGTCGAGTTCTGTCTAGCTGGTTTTAGGGAGATCAGTTAGGATGAAATATAGGAGGTTTGATCAGCTAGGGACCAATCTATTTGCTGACCTAGTAGGCTAGTAGCTTGGCTTAATCACACCGAAGTCCTTTACCCACCACCCGAACTGTATGTGTGCATTACGCCAGAGTTAAGTTTAAAGACGATAAGAATCCTTTATGAACATTCGGTTATTTCTCATTTTTGGAGAGTTTAGAATAATTTTATGGATTTTCACGGAAACAGTCACACGGAAACATTGCTTATTAGAACATTTCACACGCGTGGGGGAATTTCAGAGTGGTCCCCCATAAGCTATCAATTGACACTATAAAATATGAAGGAATTGTATAATGTGAAGTTCAGTGGGTTGCTTTCCTGTCAAGTGTCAACAAATACTTGAGTGGGTATGCAGCTATTAAGTGGATCCTTTTTTGACTGTGTATTTCAGTCTTAACTGGGCGCTTGCAATTTACTTGACATAAATGCATTCAGCTCACGGTTGCATAAATTATTATCGCAAGGACCCCGCCTGCTGCATGCATCAACTAACTAGTATTTTAGGGTTGTTTTTTAATAAAACAATTACTCTTCTGGTTTTAAGTATAAAACTTATTTTGCTTCAAAGTGGGTCAATGGGTCTTATACTTAGTACCGGAAGAGTATTTAGTTTTAATGAGTATTAAATATTTTCTTTGATATATGTCTAGAGAATAAAAGTTAACATGATGTTTGGAGATTAGTGTGGTTAGTATGGGTGATAGAGTATTGTAAATCATTTCAATTTTATGACAAATTTAATACTTTAAATCATTTTTATTGATATGTGTGAATTAGTTAAAAATGACATATAATAAAGATAGAAAAGAGTGGATACTTTTTTAGTCTTATTTGTAAGGTAGACACTTATAGATAGAGAAAAAAAAATTATATGTGAATGTATGCTTTTACCCATAGGGTATGTTGGAAAAAATGATAAATATTAAATAGGAATAAAGTTTAAAAATTACTGAATTTTAAAAGAATTAATGAATTTAAAATTTAAAGTTTTTTTTTTTGTCTGTGGAAAATTGAGAGGATCGCCATAATCAACGGTACTTGTTAATATGCACGTTCGAGATATCTACTCCTGCGTGTGACTGGGGTCCTGAGTAACTTTGGTTTTATATAAATAACTCCAATGAGGTTATTAACACTGCATGGAGCATTAACTTACTTCTGTCAGGCAATGCGCACACAATAAGCTCGCGAATTTTCTTAGCATATGATGAAAAAAGGCAGATGTTGAACTTACACGTGAAAGGAAGTTAGCATGTTTACAGTAACCGAGGTGAAAAATCCGTTCCCGATAATCATATGAGATAGTCAATACCCCCAGCTTAAGAGTGAGATGTTTTGCATGGGGAAATTGGCGAAGGACATTTTTTGGTTGATTGTAGTGACACTAATACCTCCAGCTTCTTACCAACAAGGTTGGTTCTAGCAGAAAGGATCAATCCCTCACAGTATGATGAATTAAAATTCAAATCCTCACAACGAGAGGTGCCTGCATTTGGTGCCCAACAGTACCGCGAATAGAATTATCTCTAATATGAGAATATCAATGTTTCAGCCCAAAAAAACCAGCTTCTTTTATAGGGTTCTTACCCTTTTATTTTTGTATTTGCATGTTCCACATTATTTTCTAGTAATTTCGCAAAAAGAAAAAAAGGAAAAACAAAAAGAAAAGAAAAACAAAATTTATCAAAACAGAACATAACAATAAATAACTCAATTAAGCAGAATATGACTACGAAATCTCTTTAAACTATATGGTGAGAATATTGGATTTGACGATGTGTTTTCGTTTTGTTGTAAAGTTCGTTAAGATTACGAATGAGTAGCAATTCAGAATTTTTCTTCCCTAATGCTCGAGTTTGAAATACAAATACTTCAATATAAAGGGAATACAACAAGGGAAAATATGTTCAAGGCGGAAAATGGAACCATTACTTCATCGATTTCATATTACAAAACTTACAACTCAGTGAGATGAATGAATACAAGCATACAACCAAGGCCTAATCTCGTGGAATGAACGCAAGTTAAATCTCCAATTCCTCCAATCTTCCCCCCGGGAAAACTAACAAAATACAAAGCATGAATATCTAGTATCTACCTATTTGAAAACACTAGCTTGTCACGAGAATGTTACACCAAATGAATTTCCCTATTCTACAACATCGAGTCACAATGTATCCTCAAAAAAGAGGGAAGTATATGACCTCCTGGTCATCTAACCGGAACCTACGGGATTATCCTGATTGTGCAAAGAATGCTGAGGAGGCTCAAGACCAAAACAGCCACCTGCGCCGCCGAGCAGTTGATTTGCTGTTGGGTGTTACACTTATCCGGTCTGCATTGGCGACCAACCATCTACTGAAATCAGGGGAAGTAACGAGTTCTTCCAAGGCTTTCTCAGTAGATTCTTTTGTGAAAGCATCCCACTCCGCCTCTGAATATTTTCTTCTCTCGGGCGTAGCGTGGAAGGTAGAAGGGTATGTGTCTGACAGCTTGGGAGGTGGTGTCCTAGTGAAACCTGTTGAGGCACAAAATTAGTGTTAATTACCATTTATCTCTATGCTTTTCCTTCCTCCCCAAATAGTCATGAAAAAGAACGGGAGAGAAGAAATTCCAGTGAGTTAAAACAAGCAGAAGACAGATGAACCAGACCTCGTCCAGAAGATTTGCACCGAGATAGCATGAAATTTTTCTGTCGAGGCCATGAGAATGTGAAGTCCTCTTGGCTTCGCATATTGAACATGTATTCATCATGTGAATCATCAAAAGGTGATGAATCAAGAAATTCAGATCTTCTCCTATTTTTCTTGGGGGATTTAAACAAGCTCCTGCAAAGTAAAGCACATATGACCCATAAGCGGAAAAACACCCCAAGTGACAGTGAGAGAGCTTATGGTTCAACGCTCGGTAAAGGTAAAATCTCCAAATGAATCAAATATTTACCACCAAACTCCCCAAAACTCCACTTTAATTTTTAACCAAAGCTACAAATACACCCCCCCCCCCCCCAAAAAAAAAAAAGAAGAAGAAGAATGCAGCATCCTCAAAATACATAGAATGAAGCTCCTCCAGTCATCATCCTATGTTTATGAAGTAATCTAGACGAACATATTGATAACTGAAAATAAAAAATTAAGCTCTAGAATTCACGATGGCAGACTTTACCTATGTAAGCGGCGGAGGAACCTCAATCCAATTATTCTCTTCAGCAAAGGGAGGACTAGCCCAGATAATAATGCCAATGTTCCCAATATAGGATCCATGGAACTCTGGAAGTAACATGTTCTCATCAAATTTGCTATCGGTGCTCATAAGTGAGAAACCATGAAAGCAACATATCAGAAAAGGGGTTCCTAGCAACCTAGGGGAGGGACAGTAAGAACCTGAAGGATCATAACAGCAGCCAATATCCGGATGGACCATGCAACAAAGTGAGATGTGTTTACATCCACTGACCCATCTTCTGTCAGAACAAGCTTGCGTACAACCCAGAAGCCCAACCAGGCACCAGCTAGCACAACAAAAGCCAGAAGAAATATAGCCAACTGCAATTGATAATTTATGAATTATCAATTAAAACCTCAAAAACAATGCTCAAGAATTCATATTTGAAACATAAACAAATGATAAAAAGGAAAACTGCTAGCTAATGTGCACTTTAGTAGCCAGGACAACGACCAAATTACATCGTCGCTGCTTGCAATAAATTAATTAATTAATAAAATAAATCTGTCCCTTTGTAGAATAGGGCTAATTCAAATTCTAACATGAAGTTGTTTGCTAACTAAATATATGCCAAAAATCTAGGATCCATCCTTAATGATAGCCTCAGGTTTACCTTAATTCCAACATATATAGTTCATTTCAAATATCAAGTTTATATAAAACCAGTTCGGTTACATTATATGTTTGCCAAAATCCCCTTAAGAATATACTAGGATACTTGCACAAATGAACCAAACTAAAAATCGACAAACAATCAATGTCTTGCAAAATGCAAGGATAAGTTACAGAAATTTAACAAAATACATGCAGATTTCCCAGTGTCTTATCATTCCAATGTGGTGAATGGGGAGTATTCTGAAGTGTGCATATTAAATAATACCGTGCCCTTGTCTTGTCACTCCACAAGCGTGATAAATGGTGAGCATTTACTAGAGAAGATGAAGGAGGGGAGGAGGAGGAGAAGAAGAATAAGAAGCATTGTCATTGACATGCACGTTCTACGTGTGCATTGACCCACATTTACTAAAGTAAATAAATTAGTTGAGTCGTCAAAAATTTCCTTGCTTAGGCATAAGAATAAAGTCAAGTCATAACTATACTGATTTCGGTAATAAGAAAATGAAATTCCTGTGTGGAAGGGAAATGATGATGCACAAAGAATTAGAAGCTTTTATTAAATTAAAATTTCAAAAAAATAAAATAAAATAAGAAAACCAAAAAGCCTCTAAGTCATCCATCAAAAAGCCAGTCATTCAATCTACAGATAAAAGAAGCCAAAAATATAACCATAATAACAATAAGAATCAGAAGAAAATAGTTCATAAATTTTGGCTATGCAGCATAGATGTGGAAACAAATTATCAAACAGCATAGAGATAACTTACAGGACTATACATGTCTTCATTAATTCCTAACTCTGTAAGTACTGAACGAATCAGACGGGGCACATAGCGAAGGAGAAAAGTCCCAAAGCCAACCTGATAGAAATAATGGTTAAATTCGCATCACCTGCATTCATACTTAATTAGCATATGAGATAGAAAGGAAGGAGGCTGGCCATACAGCAGATGAATATAAAAATATAGCAAGGGAAT